CACTGCACTCCAGTCTGGGTGACAGAGTGAGACTCCAACTCAAAACAACAACAACAAAAATTAGCCAGGCATGGTAGTGTGTGCCTGTAGTTCCCGCTGCTTGGAATACTGAGCCAGAAGGATCGTGAGGCCAGCAGGTTGACGCTGGGGTGGCCGTGAGCATGCCACTGCACTCCAGCCTGGACAACAGAGTGAGACTCCAACTAAAAAAAAAAAAAGAATTGACTATCTTTGGAAAAATATTCAAAACAGGTGAGTATATAACCCTATTGGAACTTTCTGAATTCTGTAACATATATGCTTTCCTTTTTTTTTTTTTGACTTGGAGTCTCACTGTCACCCAGGCTGAAGTGCAGTGGCATGTTCACAGCCACTGCAGCCTCGATCTCTGGGCTCAGGTGAACCTTCCACCTCAGCCTTCCAAGGAGTCACAGGTGCGTGCCACCACACCCAGCTAATTTTTTTAATTGTAGAGATGAGGTATTGCCATGTTGCCTAGACTGGTTTTGAACCTGTGGGCACAGGCAATCCTCTTGCCTTGGCCTCCCAAAGTGCTGGGATTACAAGTGTGAGCCACCATGCCCAACCTTTTTTAAATTTTTTTTTGAGACAGAGTTTCACTCTGTCACCCAGGCTGGAGTGTAGTGGCACAATCACGGCTCATCACAGCCTTGAACTCCTAGGCTCAAGTAATCCTCCTGCCTCAGCCTCCTCCTGAGTAGCTGGGCTACAGGTGTACACCACCACATCCGGATAATTTTTTATTTATTTTTTTATAGAAATAAGTCTCACTTTTTTGCCCAGGCTGGTTTCAAACTCCTGGCCTTAAGCAGTCTTCCCAGGTTCCTAAAGCACTGGGATTACAGGTGCGAGCCAACATGCCCAGCATATATGCAAAGTAAGTGTTCACACACACTCAAGTTTAAAACTTTCAAAATACTGGCCAGACATGGTGGCTCACTCTTGTAATCTCAGTGCTTTGGGAGGCCAAAGTGGGAGAATCACTTGAGGCCAGGTGAAAGAGCAAGACCCTGTCTCTAAAGTGAAATAAAATTCAAAATATTGATTCTTGGGCTGTGTCACCAGAAAAGGATTCAGGATGTCAAGGGTGGGATGTGGGAAGCCGTGTCTAGTGCATGCCTGCTAGCTAATTCTAAGCCAGGACCTGAACTGTCAGGAAGGAAGAGCCAAGATGCAAAGGCTATTTGGAAGCATCAACTTAAAATGCACTTAATCAGGAAAATAAGGAGAAAGAAATCCGCTGATTTAGTCTGATTTCCGTTTTTGTTTTGGCTTTTTTTTTTTTTAAGCTGGAATCTCACTCTGTTGCCCAGGCTGGAGTGCAGTGGCACACTCATGGTCACTGCAGCCTCAAACTGCTGAGCTCAGGTGATCCTTCTGCCTCAGTCTTTCAAGTAGTTGGAACTACCGGTGTGTGCCAACGTGCCCAGTTACTTTTTTTTTTTATTGTAGAGATGAGGTCTCACCAAGTTGCCCAGGCTGGTCTCGAACCCCTGGGTTCAGCAATCCTCTAGCCTCCGCCTCCCAAAGTGCTGAGATTATAGGCATGAGCTACTGTGCCCAGTTGGACTTCTTTGGATGAGAAAGGAGAGATTTGCCCAAAGCCACACATTCAAAGGCACAGACCAGTGCCCCGGGAATATTTGACAATGACTTCTCACTTAGACCATCTTACTGACCCAGAGGGCAGGACAAGATAGAGAAGAAAACACCATCTTTAATCAACCCACCTGCACAGAAACCAGGGAGCACTCCCCGCCTTGCAAGTTTCCAGTGAAAAGAGAAACTGGTCCCTTTGCAAAACTGTCTTATAAAAACAAAAGGCTTCAAAGCACCAGTGGCTACACCCGTTGAGTAGAAGGGGGCCTAGGGGAGTGGGGCGAGAGACATGAGGGCTAGAGGCAGGAGCTGGCCCCATCTTGAGTGTTCCCACCAGCTGACCTGGCTGCCCTTCTGAGAGGTCGGTGTCTGGGGGGACCAGAACTCCCCCAAGGGGCTTCTTGGCACGGCGCTGCAGACGGTGGGATGGGCTGCTGGCCCAGCTCAGGATATTGTGGCCTTAGTAGAGAATGCTGGGTCAGAGAGCAGAGAGCTTGGACGGTGGGATGGGCTGCTGGCCCAGCTCAAGATATTGTGGCCTTAGTAGAGAATGCTGGGTCAGAGAGCAGAGAGCTTGGAGGGAGTGGTCACTTGGAGAGGCTCAGGTGTGCACACCATCTGCACTGCCCGAGCTTCCCTCCAGATCCTGCCTGCCTCTTTGTGTCCTAACCCAAGGCTGCTCCCATTTCACAGACTGGGACGCTGAGGCCTCGTCCCCTTGCCTGTGGATTCACCAGTCAGTGCACAGGATGCAGGGTCCTCAAGGATGTCTGTGGAGGGAGGTGGGAAAAAGAGCTCTCACCTCTACTTGCCCCTGGGAAAGGTGAGGGTGCTGGCAATCCTGACCACCCTCATGACCTACACCCCCATCTGCCCCTTCAGAACTCCTTCTGGGCTTCTTAGAAATTGCTTCCAGCCATCCAAGTGGTCTTAAACACTGGTGCTCCGTGAACTCTGGTGTCTAACCAGCATTGCCCAGCCCTAATCCCCTCTGAAACCACAGGCCATCCAAGTTGTGAGGTGGAGGGAGCTGTCAGGGATTGGCAGAGTGGCTGGGGGGGCGGGGAACAGCAGACCCAGCCTCGGGGACCTGAAGGGGGTGGGGTGACTGAGCTGTGGTCCCACTCTACTGGAGGAGAGAACTTGAAAGGTTTGCCAAGGATGGACAGAGGCTGAGTGCAGGCAGGCTTGTGGGTCGGGCTGATTCAGGGCTCTGTCCATCTGGTTCCCGACAAGAGAACCAACAGGTATATTGCTTTAAGAGAGGCGCTGGCAAGTGGTGGTGGTGGTATGTGAGTGTGGCGGAGACCACATGGATTCTAGAGTGTCCAAGCCGTAAGGGAGCTTGGAAATGGAACTCAGAGACCAGACACTGGGTTGTGGGGTCTGAAACTACAGAAAGTACACTGCGTTCAAGGCCTGCTCCCACCAAAAGCCTAGCTGTGTGGCCTCAAGCAAATCACTTTGCATCTCTAGGCCTCAGTTTCCACATCTGCAAAATGGGGATTATAATCCCAGCCTAGCCCAGGGAATTGAGTCAAAGGAGAAGGTTGGAAAAGTCCATCTGCTAAGGGATTATTTTAATTACTTGAGGTGGAGAAACTGAGGCCCAGTTGCTTTGCTAGATGTCACACAGAGAGTCAGTGATGGACCTGCGATTAGAACCCAGGACTCCTGCTCCTAGTTCACAGTGGCTTTCCCCAGGGCTGGTGAGTGGGGTGAGATGGGGTGAGTCTGCCCTCCGGCTGTTTCTCTCTGGAGAGGGGGCAGGATGCTGAATGAAGGATGAAAGGGAGAGGCTGGAGAAGGAAGGAAGGCCCTAGCGCACGCCAAGGCTGAGATAAAAAAAATACAAACCCCGCGGCCCCCTCCCCCGCCCCGCCCCAACCC